TTCTTTTGTATTAACTGTATACTACTACTGTTAACCTTGAAGCTTATGGTTATATTTTCTAACAATTTCAGTCCATGATTGGTCATGGTCTTGGGGCTGCGGGTGGTTTGGAAGCCATAGCAACTATCAAAGCCATAACAACAGGATGGGTGCATCCATCCATTAACCAAGATGTAACCATCTCAACCACAAATTCATCCTATTAATCAAATCAAACATGTTACATTTGTAACTTTTGTTGATTCTCAGTGTCTTAATTACAATTGTCTAACTTTTCTGCAGAACTTGGAGCCTAGTGTTACAATTGACACTGTCCCCAACGTTAAGAAGCAGCATGAAGTTAATGTTGGTATGTATGATCTCTCGGATTGAATAGAGTAATAATGTAAAATTCGATGTTTCTGATCTTTAAGTGTATTCATTTCGTGCAGGTATATCCAACTCTTTTGGTTTCGGTGGACACAATTCAGTAGTTGTCTTTGCCCCATTCAGACCATAAAGTAGAATTGAAACTTTCTTTTTCTTTTCACATTTTGGAAACTAGTGATTTTTGGACACAAAAGTTCATGAGTTATGGACAGAGCATAGTTGTTTTTATATGTACCGAAATCATAGCAGTGGTATAAGAGTGTGATGAGCCATGAAGACAATAAAATGTTATTTTCAGCAATTCTACTGTTCTTTTACTAAATTTATATTAACATGAAAATTCACCTTGGTTAGTGTGCTTATGATGTCTTTGCTTTTTCCTTATTTGATCTTCCCATGTTTCATACTGTGTTGGTTGGAGAAACTTCTCCATTAAACTTCTAAATCTTTAATCTTAATCTTTTACTTATTCTCATTTTGAAATACATTTTTATACAAAAAGTACTCTTTAAAATTAAAGAGAATAAAAAATAATCCCAATTTAATTATAAAAGAATTGATCTCAAGACTTAAATATATACCAAAACACAATTAAGATAAATTAATTTTTTTACTAATGAATAATGTGTTAAAAGATCTTACAATTAGGAGCTAAATGAACTTCCAATAATATGCATCTCGTATCATTAAGGAAAGATTTACTTAATTGTAGTTTTGATATTCCACAGTTAAGAAATCATTAAGGAAAGATTTACTTAAATGTAGTTTTGATATTGATTAAAATTAAAATTTTGGTCGTCCTTTAATTTTATAAAATTAAACAATTATAGTTATAATTAAATGGCCCACCCCATAGCTGCAATAGGAGGCTACATACTAGTTTTCTGACTGATACAAAATACATGGGCCATAATTTATAAATAAATGTACACGAAATACCTACTTTTGTTATCTCATTATTATTCTCCATGATACTGACCATACCGTTGTCCATTTCGAAAGACAAATATCATCTTAATTAATAAATCAATGATTGTTAATTGGTTGTATCATTAATATTGATGATGAATATTTAGTATTATAATTTTAAAACAATTATTATAAAAATAAAATAAAAAGTTAAATGTACGATGATTTATTGTTTGATTACAGTATATTTGTCAGTAAGTAATCTATTTTCAGCTTCAATTATCATATTTGAGAATCTATTTCAGATTAATCATTGTCCTCATAATAGGCTAAAAAGCCCAAAATTGTATATGCTATCATGTAAACAATTAAAAAAATGTTATATTTTAAAATGTACAATTCAAAATAACACATTTGAGAATGTAATTTTTTCTATAGAAAATAAATGGTCATAAGAAAGAGGATGTGGGAAAGATGGCTTGGAAGAGAGGACACGGGGAGACAGGTGTCAGATGGAGATTAAAAAGGAAATAAAAGAAAGAAAATAACGATAAATATATAATTTCACAATTTCATGAAAATAATGTAGGATGAAATGAACGGAGGTGCATGAAGAAATGATCCATCTACAAATATTACATTTATGGGCCTGTACTCAACATTTCTGTATACACCCTGTAAAAACTATTCCTGCACCACTATTTTATAATTAGAAAGTGTATATAAAGAAAGAAAGGGATGAAGGTATAAAGAAATACCTCTAAAATATTCCAGCTCATTATAGACAAACTCGTATGAAAGAATATATTATCTCCCATTCAAAATGTTAAAAACAATAAATTTATGATTTATTTGTTTATCATTCATATTGTGTATGTGCACTCGATATAATACTTTTAGCTCGTATTTAAACTTTTAATACATTTTATAACTTGATTCTTTCAGGAACAAGAGGGGACGAGGTACGGTAATATGAAAAAAATATTTATTTTTAATTGGAAAATTCCATTTGCAACACATTTTCTCACAATTCAGACATCAATAAAAAGGAAAAAATTATGAGATAAATAATATAATGAAGGAAATAAGCAAAAATATTGATTATAAAAATGTCTTTTATTAGAATATTTGTTTAGCAAATAGTAGTTCATGTTGTATAAGAGTAAATCTAACTCCTTTATTTAAATCTTTTAAACAAGTTTGTGTTTGGTTAAGCTTATTTAAAGGATTATAGTTTGTTTTGTCAAAATACGTTAGAGATATTTTTCTTTTGATTATTTTTTTTCTGTATTAATTATAATTCAAGGCAATTACGTATACAGAATTGTAAGATAAAGTTTGCACCCCACTTGTATATTATAATTTGGCGTGATAGTAGAAATGAGTGGTCGATAATGGCCCGATAGCGGGTGGAATAGAAGAATAGAATGCTCACATAGAACTCGCTAAGATAGACTCTAACCATGACTCTGATACCATATTAGAAAATGGTTTTTAAGTCTAACGTAACTCCACAAAACCAGCTTTTAAGATGAGGTTTGTACCCCACTTATATATTATAATTTAGCTTTATCTGTAGTATGTGAGACTTCCAACACTTATGAATTCAATTTGGTTAACCAAGGTGTCCTTGTGTTATTCCTATTTGAATTCTAAATGGTTATGCTTACATGTGTGTTGTTTCTAATGTTCCTTCTCTAAAATAGAATAGTATCAATTAAAGTAAGTTAGTTCTTAATAAAGATAATATCTCTAATTGATATTATTTGGAAAAAAAAACATCAACTCAAACATAAAAACAAAATTAAAAAAAGAAAAAAGAAAATTTTCAACTTCAGTTTGAAAAAGATTTTTTCAACAATTATATAAAAAAAAGCATTAGTGAGATTATGATACTCAAACTTTTTTCAACCCCACAGTATATATGAAAATTTTCAAATTTTTACAGTAAAATTTAAAAATTTGAAAATATATTATTTTAAATAATCCAATTATTTATAAGAACTTATAACATATTAATTTTATAATTTTTTTTATCTATATAGCACATTTATCATAAATCATATAAGTTTTAGTGATTAATGGTAGAGCGAATCTAAAGCTTCAAATTATCGAGAAAGAGATAAGGTCCACTACAACTTTACAACAACATGAGGAATATTCTTAAACCAACTAATTTTCTGTAATATGTGGATAATTTGTTATATTTTTTATTGTTACATAAATAAATCATCCTTTTTAAAAATAAAGTCTTCCTATGATTATAAAAAAATATTACTATTTCAAGTTAACTTTTATCCTCTCATTTTATTTACACTAAATAACCATTTCAAATAAAGATCAGTTAGAGAAATCACTCCATAGTTTTTTTTTTTTTAATTTTAATACACAAATTTTTTTAAACAATTTAAATTAAAAATAATTATTTTAAAATAATCATTTTCTTAAAATATCCAAAAAATGTACATTAAATTATTTAACTACACTATGTTTTAATTGTATAGATTTTGTTTTTCATCAAACAAAACTCATTACTTTGCTAACTTGACTGATAATTATTTTTAAAATTATATACAAACAGTTTCTGATCAATCATCAACATAAGAGTCCTATTAGAGCATAAAATAAATTGACAGTTAATTACAGTAATAATAATGATAAACATTATAAACACAATAATTAAACTAATCTGGTTTTAGTAAGAGGCAAAAGAAAGGCCTGCTTTACTTTTTAATCAATGATTTGATGCTTTTCTTTGGTGCACAAAACTATTACCTTACTATTATACTCTCCAAACTTCTTCTGCCTGTACTCCAACCAAATTCACTCGCATACTTTCAACACTTTCTTCCTAATAATACACATTACCATGATTGCCTAATGTACGATCATTCAGACTCCATCCAGTGATAGGGTACTAAATTTTTTTTTTCAAATACAAAGCATATGTTATGCTCTGGAAAAGGAAAATCAGTGTCCTTAAGGAATCAAACATTAGTGGGGTACGTGCGATGAAAAATTCTTTAGGTATGCATGTTTTGTTTTAGTATAAAAAAATATACTTTTACACATTGCTTTCTTATTTTTTACTTTCTTTTTTATTGAAGAAATACAAAAAGAATTATACTTTTATGATTATTTTATTCTTGTATTATGTGTCAAATAAGTGTAAAAGTGTGTCATGGTATCATTATTCTTTATATATTGTTTATGTTCAGAATACAAGCTTGAGTGTAAGTCTCATATTAGATAAAAATAAAAAAGTAAAACAATAGATAAAGGTGAAGACCCATTAACCTATTTTGAATAAAAATTAGTGTCAATCTCTTATGTGGTTGAATTCTAAGGTTTTTGGTAGAAAATGATATTTATCCCTTATGTGATTGGGTTCAGGTTTCATTGATGTTGTATTTTCTCTATCAACCTCCTTTCCGAACAATCTCTTTCTTTTCGATAGATCCAACAATTTAAAGTCGGGAACTAAAGATGGTTTAAATATATTTTATTCTCTCAATTTTTTTATAAATCTTTTAAGAATAAAACATAATATTATTTTCTGCTTCAAAACAAACAGACTTAAATTCGGAACACAGACGGACTCTTGTAGAAATACAATTGGTTAAAATTTGATTAGAGGAATGTTAGCAGTGCCAGATAAAGAAAAGCTGCCTCAGATTATTTCATAAATTATTGGTTTTGAATTCACAGAACTCTTAGCTCACGAGGGCAAGTTGAATGTTTTCTTTGAATTGAAAAATATGATCATCTAAGTAATACACCATTTCCTTGGAAAATGGTAGTGTTTGTGGAATTACCAACTTGATCTTCTTGTTGCTGAGGAATAGACATGATGTGTGATGAAGAGCCTGAAATTCCACCCTGCTGTGGTGAGTCTGATACAATAGGTGAGGGTGTATTAAGGAACTTGGTGGAGGGTGTGATGCAACATCTACAAAGCGGACACGTGGAGTTTGATTGCAACCAGTTGCATATGCAGCTTATGTGAAACACATGCTTGCAATAAGGAATTTGTAGCAGTTCTTCCTTCAGCTCAAATTCTCCAAGGCAAACACAACATCTGGTTTTTACAGAAAAAATCAACAACCTTTTAGCCTTCGTTTCATGAATTTATAGTTATTAGAATATTAGCACAATCATATATCCTGAGTTTTGGAATATTGATGTTCGACTCTGCTAAATCAAATCAAAAAAGGACAAGAATTCTGATGCATTGGAAAAATAAAAGAATACAAAGGATCAGCATAAGAAACCAAGACTTTCTAAACCACTTGCCCAGTATAAATTCTGAAGCAGATACAACCAATATCTATCTAACTTTGAAATTTGTCTTTTTACTATGCATTTGAGTTACACGTGTAGGAGGAATTAGATATCTTATTTTTTCATTATTTCTGGTGACTCACATCACATTCAAATGTGCAAGTTATGCATAAAAGGGGACCATTCTACGTAAATTTTTCACATCTTTTGCTTCCTTTTTCTCCGAATAACTTTTTATGAAAATAATGGATGCATGAAAGGTTCTAAGAACTCTGGAAACCGAATATTCTGCTAAGAAAGATTTTAGCTTTTGAAGAACAACAATCATTTGAGTATAGTTTGGAAGAAGGGAAATTGAAGTATAGCAAACTAACAATTTAGCTCTTAAGCACACTGTAGATACCTTATGTAATAGATAGAGATTAAAACACATCAATCAAAGTTCAAAAAATGAAGAAAAAGAAACCAATAAAGAAGTAACACAACTACCATTCAAAGATAATGCAAACAAAAGGATAAGTTAAAATCTCAGGCATAAGAAAGAAGCAAGGAGAATAGACAAGAAAAGGCTTACACTGAATCTCTTGTTCCACAATCCTCATCAAATAAAATTCTTGGAAGTTTGTCAAGAAATTGCACTGTCAGATCTAATCGGCAAGGCTGCATAATATTAGCAGTACAGGGGCTATTAGCTATTATTAGTTTTTCAATTAAATTACTGATAACAGATGCATGATGGTTCAGTGCAGATAAGTTTAGCTCTTAAAAAATTGAGTTTTACCTTACTAAATCCAAAAAAATAGTTCTTAAAGTAAGAGGAGTACATCATTTATATATTCCATTGCTCATATGCTAATGAATGCATGATTTTTAACACTAACCATAGAATCTAAATCCCTATAGTGAGTTATGCAGTTATGACTTGAAAATACAGAAAAAGAAATGCTACTTACTTGTGAAGGGTAAGGATATGTTGTTTGAGGATTGGCAGTGTTGGTAAGTATGTGGAGAGGTGGTGATGAAAGAGAGGAAGCTCTCCTTTTGAGGTAGAACAAGTAAAACAAGAGAACCAGAATGATGGAAAAGAGTATGGGAATGGAAAAGATGAAGGCTTGGTAAAGCTTAAGTTGAAGTTCTTGTGGATACAAATGTGGAGAAGGGGTTGGAGTTTGTGGCACATCCATCACATATTCAACACAGATACAAAAGTGTGGAACACATTAATAGAAAGTCTGTTGAATAAGAACAGACAGAGAGGGTTGAAAATGTTATACAAAAAGCTTCAGCTCAGCATGCACTGGTTGTGATATGTTAGAATTGGTGAATAGGGTAAGAAAGATATATACCAAAATGTTTAAGATTGTTCTTTTAGAGTCATTGATAAAGCTGAGATGTTGCATTAGCAATGTGATGTGTGTGAAAATGATAATGGCATTAGTACATATTCTGTGTTTTGCAGAGGTGGAACAGGCCCATATGATCCTCCACCACTTCTCAGATATGGACCCCAGTGTAATGTATACTTGTAAGGGTGTGTTTGTTTTACCATTTTAGACCTTCAAAATGCGTTTTACAGATTTTGAAGAGACTTGATTTTGTAAACAATGGTTATGTATTTGATAAAGGAAGAAAAGTAAGAACATAAAGTCAAATTCACTGCTGTAAATGGTTTAAGAATACATTCAAGTCTCAAACTGTTAAGAATTTTATTGTGTTTTGTAAAATTAATATATCTAATATATGGGGTAGATTTTTTTATTTTTTTTTCCTTAAATTTCAACAAAGTCCATCCATTTTGAAATAGAAACCTATCTCATCCTATGAAGGAGCATAATGCCTTTTGACTATGACTATGACACAATATGTGCACTCTTGGTGGAACGTGATTAATTGAAGAAATTAAGCTATTTTCTGAGTGGGTTTAGAATCAGATCTGAATGTGAAAATCATAGCAGATTCTCTGTTTCAGTGTATACAAAGAACATATGTTGCTGCTTTATGATTTTAGTCATTTGCTTTAATTATCAAAACAAAGTGCAACCACTTATGTTGCTGATTGTGTAATAACGGGAAGTAGCATCTTAGAGATATACATAAATCCTTCAGTAGACATTCAAAATCATTACATTAAAAGAAAAATAAATGTCTGGTTGGCTGGTGATTGAGTTCAAGTGAAAAGAAAAACGTGCAAAAACATGATTATGACCCACTTGAAACAAATTAACTTTAACATGACATGACATTTATTTTCCTAGTTAACACAACATCACTACTTCATACGATACACGTCTGGTCGCCTGTTATTCAACAACGTAATCACGAGATTTATTAAATGAACTTATACAGAAATTAATAACTTTGGAAGAAGTTTATTTAATTCTTTTCTTCTTATTTGTTTTTCCTTTAAATTTGTTCGAACAATTTGATTACACGGCTTGCTGAATCACACTACAGAGTCTTGCTAAGTTATTCTTCCCTTTCTCACTGTAAATACTAACACTGCTACAGTAGAGGCTGGAGTGATAACGATAAATACAAATGGTTTGATAGAGGTTGCACATGGAATGGAGTTTCATCACATTTTGGGAAGAAAAGTTGGTTGAGGAGGAAAGTTTATTGAATAAGTATCTTAAAATGTTCAATGATTCAGAACAAAAGTGTTGGAGCTTTATATTAGGTAGCAACATACAAAGAGTTAAAAGCTACAAAAAATGATTGTATTTATTGTGTGAAGATTCTTATTTTTGTTTTTCATTACTTGTACGTACAAATCTATTGTCTTTAAGATTTTATTATAATGATATTTTACATTATAAATTGCTACAGGTTCTTGGAAAGAAGATTTTGACCACAAAGCACATAGTAATTATATTTTTGAGATTGATTGCAAATCTGTTTATCATGGCTTGCATCTATAGCAACACACAATGTTTATCTGAATTCCACTTTGCTTTTGCAAGTTGTAAAATTTACTTGTCAACCAAGTTACTTGCTCTCTTCCTAGGACATCTACGTTTTATGCTAGCCTTGATTTTGAATGAATATCCAATTATATTTGCTTTCAAGAAAGAAGTGTAGACAATAAATAGTCTCTACTGAATATATCCTATTTAAATCGAATAAAACAATAATAGAAAAATGTTTTTCTCCAAATTAAAACGTCTAAATCTCAAACTCCAATTCTATTTCTTTGAATGCTGCTACAAGTAGACTTTAATACATCTTCTATTGTTAATTAAGGTTTCTTAAAAGAACCCTTAAACAAAGGGTGATATTCACATTATTTTATTATTATATAAATTTAACTAATTAAAAATTGTTTTAATAATATTTTTCCTTAGCTTGTGATCTTTTTAAAATAAAGTTACTCACGATTTTTTAAACTTGAATATTCACATTTAGTTTAAATATTACATATTTCTTAAATGTTTCAGTAACACTCAGACCTGTTTTTTTTTTTAAGATATTCAAGTAAATGAACTGTATGTCTAAACAGGTAATGTCAAAATTTATTAGTTCCATATAAGATTGTAGACTTGTTAGAAAAAGAATTTACAAATTAATTGTCAACATATAGCAAACTGCATTGAGCATGGTAATTTTGCAGACTGCAAGTGATAGATAGCACCTACATCTCTCTTTAAATCATGTTACAAAAATACTTGAATCCAAATGACACTGAAAAAGGAAAAACAATAATAATAAATACAACATTACTTTTTGTGAACCATCTTTTTGAAGGAGCTACCTGAGACCTGAAAAGAAACTAATATTTCCTCTTCCTAACTTTGGAACTCATTGATCGGATAACATTATCATCCGTTAACACTGTGTCCTCGAGAGGCTTTACGGATTCAGGCTTGGTGAAGTAGGTGAACAGCAGGTAGATGCCATCCAAATAAGTGTTGGTCTCCCCAGCTTTGTTTTTCTTCTTGATCCCATATGCTAGAGGAATAACTCCTCTGTTAAAAACCTCTACATACATGCCACCTCCAGCAACAAGAATCTGCAAGAAGGAAAATCATTGGAGTTAGAGTAAAAAATCTAGTTCACACACTTCAACAACACCACTACAAATTCATCAGCATTTCAGATCAGCAAACATTGCCGTTTGAGTCCACTATTAATTATTATTATTACTACTTAAATTGCCAGGGGACTGTCACCTCCAATAACGCATAAACCACAACAACACACTTATCAAACATCAAGTTAATCAAACCAAGGTAATCAAATTGAGATTCAAATAATGAATCATAATTTGTGTCAAACCATAGGAGTCAGTGAAAAATATAGTTTTCAAACATATTTCACAGAGATGATATAAAGCGGGCAGTACGATAATTTCAAACTAAATATAGAAAACCACTTAATCACAAGGCTCATAAACAAAATTATTACTTATATCTGAGTTTGTAAAACCTCTATTTAAGAAATCTGGAATTGAAGCAATAAAATATAGCTAAAAGAGTGCATGCAATGAAGTAGTGAAATGATCAAATAGGATAAGAGGAGAAATGTTCCTTCAGTTCCTTTTCATTAAGCTTATATGACTTTTCAAATTCTTTCTCAAGAACTGGTGAAAGAAAACTAAAACAAAATGTAGAGTTGAATAGTGTGATTTGTATCTACCATACGAAACTGTACATCGTTTAAAATACTAATTGAAAAATCACGAACTTAAGATTCTAACAGCTATGCATCAAAGAGCAACCACACAATGCATTTCACCCCAATGAATAACCAAAAACAACATCATAGAAATTCACTGAGCAGATACAGAGAGACTGTCACTGCTGCAGTCCTCCCCCTCAATGAAAAATATAAATCGTTCAGCACAATCAAAACCCGGTGCAATTTCCCAATCACAAACAGAAACAGAGTCTCGGCACACGAAACAAAAACAAATTGTAGACCTAACTATTCCATATACTAAAATTCAATTTGATTATTTTAATCCATCTCAGCTTAAGTATGAAAACCAAGTAAAAGTCACAGAATTTAACCTCCTCGTACTTCTGGGTGAGTGCAAGTCGTTCATCCTCGGTCATGTCGGGCCTCAAAACCATCATTGTCTCGTACTGTCGAAGGCCGGGTGGGCAAGGGGGCTCCTCCTTTTCCTCGACGGCCGTGAACCCGGTTCCGCCTGGTGAATTGGGGTCGTCTTCGGAGCCGAAACCCCCTTCGAAGAACGAATCGGAGAAGTCTAGGGTTTGGGCAGCAATGGAAAATTTAGAAGCGTTTCCCTTTGGGTGAAAATGGTATCTTGGTTCTGCAAAGAGAAATTTGGGACCACGAGAGAATGCGCCAACGGGAGAAGATAGAAAATTGGAAGGGAGTTTGGAAGAAGAATGAGGAACATTGAGAGAAGAAGAAGAGAGAGGAACCGAAGTGAAGGCAGACGAAGCCATTGTTTTGCCCTGCTAAGATGAGAGGACTTTGCAGATGAAGCTGTTCTATCCTATGCAGATAAGGCGAACTCAGCGCACACAAGCGCAGGTTAGAAGTCGGGTTTATGAAGCTTTTTCTTTTCTTTTCTCTCATTCTCTACTCAAGTTTTTTTTTTAAATAGTAATAATGATCTCTTTTTAAATGATTAAATATGTTTTTCGTATTTAAATTATTTTTAAAAATTACACTTTCTTATCAAATAAAAAACGTATTTAATTCTTTTTAGTTACTTAAGTTATATAAAAATCAGGAGTATGACAATATTGGTATCAATAAAATAATTTTAATCGTTATTGTTTTCTAAATTTAAATTTTTTTAATCATAATCATTCTTATTACTTAAATTTTTAACATGTACAACTTATTATTTGTATGTCCTTTTTACAATTTAAAACGGTTAAAATAATGAAAACGGAATCATGTTTTCAATCTCTTAAAACAATTAATAAATATTTTTCATTAATTATTCATTAGTTGAGTTCAGAAATAAATTAAAAATTAAATGTATAAATTGTGTATTCATTTTTTATGTACAATTAAAATATTGTGCTAAAATAATTGATTATATTATATCTTTTTCTTACTGCAAAATCTTTATTTGATTATATTATATCTTAAGTTGGAGTGCGAGCTTAATATCATTACCAAAAATATGTAAAATCCTTCTAATTCTTATCAAATTATCTATTTTATAATCCTAATATATATATATATATATATATATATATATATATATATATAATATTATAAAAGAAATTAAAAGTACAATATAATAATAAGTTGGGTAAAGCGTAAAATAATTGATTCCATTTTTATATGTGATAAACTAACATTTGTCTCATTGAAATAAAATAAATAAATGTAATTAAAAATATTATTTTCACTATTTAAAATAATCCATTATCCCAATAAACAATTATTATACATGGTAATTTGTATGAAAAAAAAGTATCCAATTAACGTAATTTTTTTCATTTATGCTCCACTACGAAAACTTCCTTTTGTTTCATGTTCATCTTTTTGTTCCGTTCTATCTGACCCATTCCATGAAATTACAATCTGAATAAACATTGTATTTGTAATTTAAAAGCGTATTAGAATTTATATACAACTGAATAGTATATATTAAAATAATAATATACATAGGGATCCTTTTTCATAATAAAATAATAATTAAATATAGTAATTAAAGTAAAATTATAAAATATAGAATCACTTAATTTTGTCTTTCCCTATTTTTAGCTTTTTAAAACCTTTTGCTTATTTTTAACTGATTTCGTTTAATTTGTAAGGCAACTTTAAACCAAAATCGATATTTATTTTCTTCTAAAACTTAACTATTCTTTTAAATTAAAATAATTATTTATAATAAAAAATTTATAAAAAATAAAAGTAACTTACAATAAAAGTGTAAAAATTACTTAAATTTACTTTTATAATGGTTAAGATAACAATTTTTTTTTATCATAGTATAGTATACATGTTTTCATCAATATATATAATATTTGAATTATATAAGTGTAGTTGGAATCTTTGCTTTAACTTCAACCTTTAAAATAATTTTGTTGTGAATCTAAAAATTTCTCATTTGAACTCGGTTTCATTCAACACATTCGTCAGATTGAACTTTTGCAATGAATATACTACATAGATAACAAAGCTAATATGTCCAGGATAAAAAAACAGGAGATATATAACATGACATGTGAAAATAATAATAATGCATGCAATAGACCCAACATGACATACTCAATACTTTCCTTAGTAAAAGACATACCCAACTACCCGAGGGTTGCAGCAAGAATATAGATGTCTACGACTTACCTGAAGTAATGCGGACATTAAGCATAGCATGCCTTCAAGATGCATTACCGGTTAAAATCCAAGTTCAAAACTTGGGATTGTTTCCCTTTCACACGAAAACTCCTCATCACTCTTTTCTTCATTGGTAATGAAGCAAGATTGATAACCAGAATCCTTCTCATTCGTATTTGTCTGGGCATCCTTCTGAGAGGGCTACATATTGAAAAGACAAAATTTGAGACAGATGAAGATTTCTCTAATATGAAAAGTCCAACCGTGTTATATTTCAGGAAATTTCGAGTAATATGTTCTAGTTAGCACAGTTTTGACTGATTACGGAAATCCCGTGAATTAAAGAATTATAGTCTCAACGTAGAATGGAGATATATTCTATGTTCTAAAATCGATGTACCTTGCACAAGTATTCCGTCTTAATGCAATGAAATCAAATTCATTTAATCATAAATTTTCAAATATATAGTACAAAAAATACCAACCTAGAAAAAAAATGCGGGCAAAGAATAGTCTATGAAAATACAAACATAACACATCATACAAAATAATATAATACAATGAACTTATAGAACCAACCCCCAACAGTGTATTATTTTAAAATCTTACAAACCCCTATACGATATATTCCGTTATATAACACGAAGAATTATTAGAAACCATAAATATTCACTTCCCAACAGATACGCCTACTCAAATTATCACTCACTTGTGGATACTTATCTCTTTGATGATAGGACCTATGCAAGTGCCTCTTCATAGTTTTTAGAACTCCTAACCCCGTGCATCAACGATATTCATTGATTGATTCAAGTTCTAAGAATGTAGTGGAGATATATTTCCAATGCAAACAATTTTATCTACCCGAAGTGACATAGAAATACGTGTATCAACACTAACACTTCAAACATTCCAAGAATCATCTGCAAGTAATCTCTACATGATATCTAATCATCAAAAGACTAACTTACGAAATACAAGTCACTTTCAGAAAATGCAAACAAAATGGGAGACTATACCTGGTGGGACAATTTGACATTCTCGGTAGATTGGAAACTGTCACCGCTACATGCTGCTGCAAAACCCCACAACCAAGAATTACAAATATCTCAATCTCAACAAGCATAACAAGGAACAGCTGCTGAGAAATATCTCCGAAAATCACAATTATTGTGCTAGAAATCCAGTAAGCCCACCAATTCTAAACTGACCTCCAGACAATGTAATATCAAGGGATTTCGTCGCAGCTGATTCCTTATCCCCAATATTTTGACATGACTTCGCAGCCGCAGCTGATTCCTTATCCCCGAAATTTTGACAGGATTTAGCAACAGTAGCTGATACGTTGTCCCCAATATTTTGACCCCCATTGGGCGATTGGCCTCCTATAGAAATCCCATATAATCACGTCATCATCAGACCATAAGGGACCTCTGTACCTAGTTGGGTTACGTGGCTAACCTGTTACATAACTCTCCCGAGGCTTCAGGTTAGGATTCTGTAAAATGGCCAGTATTTGATCGGCTGCAAAGTAGCAGAAATCAGTTGCAAAGTAGAAATGATGAAATAGTATATTAAAATCAGCAAACACACGTCGCATCCTAGGCTCTGTCATGACAGGGTTTCTAGTGGCCATTCAGTTTTACAGATATCAATAGGACCTCTTATCTATTTTACAAAGTCCACACAATAATATTAACTACTTATCTGTTCCCTCTATTTGTTCCCATAATTCAAAGTTACGGATGCCGATTCTACTATACAGAGATGGAAAAAAGTATCAATCAAGTACATTAGATGATTTGAAAGTCGTCGTTTGTATTAGAAATCATGAATCAACTTAATCCTAATGTCGGATCTTCACATTTATGAAGAAAGCCGTTATCACTATCCTACAAATTGCATGCAAATGAATAAAAAGAATCAACATATTCATATTTATGAAGAAAACAATTATCACTATTGTACAGAATGCTTGCAAATCAATAAAACTGTACCAGCTTCCTATTGAAAACGGAAGGAAAAAGTGATGCAAATGAAACATAAAGATGAGTGTTAAGACTAAAGACTGCAGGCAATTAATAAGTACTAACCATCACGTAAAGGCTTGATTGGTGGGGTTATCCTGTTTGGTTTTATATCTTCTCGTTCGGTAACCAGACAATCCAATCCAGATCCTTTCCCCAGACAGAGTTCACTCGGAGGTTTTCCTGCACGGCATAACCATAAACTTTTGAGAAAGAGAAACGACAGCTCATTCCAGACATACTTTCTGCTTACTTTCCAGGAGTCTGTTTATGGACTTTTGTCGTCATTCATTCTCAATTATTTCCCCATTCCTAGCTTCTCTTTTGTCTTACAATTTTACTTATTTTAAGGTTTGTATTTACCACGCTTTTCCCTTTATAAAGGGCTTAGGAAGAACTTAAGTGGAATTTATCAGACCTTTATGAAAATAGCTTACCACTCCCGTAAACTCCTTCAACTCTTATTTCAATAAGCTTCTTGACATTAAAAAAAGATTTTGTTGCAGTAAGTTGTTATTCATCCAAACACGCATATAAGCAAAACAGAATTTCTTCTCTGCTCCTGAATCATTACTATTCTACATTTAAATTTTGAAATAAACTTCTGATATAAATGGAAGTCGTACATTCATAAAAATTAAGACCAGATATATTTTAATTAGTCAAGGAATAACCTTTAGCAGAAGATGGATTGACCTTGCGGTAGCCATTTTGCCCATGTCCTCTCCTCTCAACATTATCACCATTCCCTCCTTCACTTAACTTCGCCGGAGAGTCATGACTTCCTTCAGGTTCTCCTACTTCAACAAAATGTCCATCAAAATACACCGATTCACCTGTCATTATAATTTCATCTTTCTTTAGGAACCGGCGTTGTAAAGGTCTTTTGTTCAAATCATATAGAACAACCTGAAAAGAGAACATCGAATTACAGAAAGCATAATCAATCATGTAACTCTGTCACACATATATAAAGTAAGGGTGTATTTAAGTGAACAGCTTAGTTAAGCGCTTAATTTTAAGCCTTTACCACGTCAACATGCAAACTAATATAAAAATTTTGGCAATTAAGCTCATTCAAATAATAAGAACTCATAGGAATAAAAAACCAAATAAACTCTACAGAAGATCATCCAAGGATTCAGTTTCAAAGTAAAAGAGATGCACAAAGGACAGATTGAAAAGGTAAAAAATAAAATTGTAGCAT